CCGGCCGTGCTTCAACCACATCTGACGGCGCACACAATCCGCGATGAAGGAAGGGACTTGCTCCTCCACTTGCTGACAGAACCAGTGTTTTCTTTGGGCTTTGCAGACACAACACTAAAAAATCCACAAGTCCAAAAGGACTGCAGCGGTGGAGAACGACTCCCAAAGGCAGCTACCACAGAGATGAAAGGGGCCAAACGAATTGACCAAAAGGCAAATGAAGTAGGGGGCAAGACGGAAAGCTGACGGACTGTCCTTAATAAGAAATCGCATTTCCCAAGGTATGGGCAAGCCCTGTGATCCAGAACGGAGGAAGTCAAACACACCAAGTGAACCAGATTAAAATGGAAGTGAAGGACACTTGTCAAAATAAATAAAAATACATCAGAAAACAGATGTTAATATGTGGTTTTCCAAGTCACTAAGTGGCCCCAGAGATTCCTGAGTACAGTTAAGCACCACTCCCCCGATCTAGAGAAAAAGAGACACGTACAAAATAAACTACAATACTCTGACATAAATGATCTAAAACCAGCGATGCATCAGCAGAGGGAAATGGAAAGTCTAAGAGCACAGAAAAATAGTAAATGAAGTAACCAAAGAGTAATACTCATCAGTGAAACACAAAATATATAAATATAAGAAAGACAATACAATCAAAGAAAAGTATCAACTTCTGGCCAGAATGGCAGGCCAAACAACCAGAAAGCCTCACAGGAGGGACCAGGGAAGCCCAGGGAAAGAGCACCTCCTTATCCCTCCATCCAGAGATGTCACAGAGGGCCCCAAAGACGCAGCAAAGACCCAGGAAGTGGCGATCACCACTGGAACCAAGGTAATCCAGGGTTCTTGTGAGCAAGGGCCAATGACCTCACCCAAAAGCCTTCCCTAGCACAAAGCCCCAGTTCAGGAACTAACGCTGGAAAGATGAGTAAATACCAGGAAACACCAACCAGTAACAAAAGTAATAGATCTAGAGATGCCTGAAAATCTAACCTAAAAGGTGTAAGTCCTTAAACAATGAGCAAAGACTCAAAGGAAAAAAAATGGATTTCCCACAAGGATTACACAAACAATGCAGAAGCAATCAAACAAGTCATCAGAAAGTTAGATGAAAATTCTGGAGGCAAGAATTAGGAGGAGAACAGCTTAGGGAGCCAGGGAGCGCCACAGTGCACAAAGCGCCAGGCCTGGAGTCAGGAAGACCCGAGTTCAAATGCGGCCTCAGACACTTCCTATCCGGATGACTCTGGGAGACTCTGGGCAAGACACGTAACCCTGTTGGCCTCAGTTTCCTCACCTGTAAAATGGACTGAAGAAGGAAATGGCCAACCACTCCAGTATCTCTGCCAAGAAAACCCCGGGGGGGGGGGGGGGTCACAAAGAGTCACATCTGACTGAAATGACTCAACAACACCTTAGAACAGAAAATGGCAAGTTTTACTCAAGAATCAGATTCTCTACAAGGTAAAATGGATCAATCATAAATCAATGTCACCAACAGATATTAAAATTCAATCAAATGACTGAAAAAAGGCCAAGGAGAGATCATTTAAGAATCATTCACAGTCAGTGTAGGAGGGGCTGTGGAACGATGAGGATGAGGATGACGAAGAAGCCACCATTTATAGGGCAATCACTAGTATTCACTGGGCACTGTTCTAAATGCTTTATAATTATTATCTCACTGGTCCACGCACACTAGTACATTGTCGGTGATGCAACTATTTTGTAAAGTAATGTGAAATTATGCAAATAAAGTGACTAAAATGTCCATACCCTTTGAACTGAATCTCCAGTACTAGGCTTATACCCAAAGGAAGACACTGATGAGAACAAAGTCCCCAAATACACCAAAATATTTTGTTGCAGCACTTTGGAAACAAAATAGATGCCCATAAATTAGGGAATGGTTAAACTGTAGTATGTGAGTGGAATGGAATGTGACTGCTGTAAGAAGTGGCTTATGGGACGAATACAGAGAAGCAAGAAAAGTTCTACAGAACTGATGCAGAATGAAATCAGCAGAGCCAAGGAAAAAAAACAGACACAAAGTCTACAACAAAAATGTGAATGGAAGGACCACACACCCCCAAAATCAAAAGTAAATGTGACTATATAATGGGTATTGTACTGCTTGCCTTCTTGGGAAGGAAGAAGTGTGAGGGTAGGGGAGGCAGGACTCTGCTGGAGGGAGAGAATTTGGAACGGAAATTTAAAAAATAAATGCTAAAAAACAAATAAATAACATGTGTGTGCAAACATACTCAAAAGAAAATGTAACAAAATCCTAAAAATCAATCGTGACTTGAACAAAGAGACCTGAGAGGACATCCCCAAATTTCCCCTTTGTGGAGGTAGGAGGTTCACAGGTGTTACACATTTGTGCATGTTTTTGGACTTTATCAATGTCTAGATCAGTTGTACTGAGTTTTTTTCCTCTTTAAAAAATACTATTTGTGCTCTAAATCACTATTGATTAGAGAAATGCAAATCAAAACAACTCTGAGGTACCACATCACACCTATCAGATTGGCTAACATGACAAAACAGGAAAATGATAAATGTTGGAGAAGATGTGGGAAAATTGGAACACCAATGCATTGCTGGTGGAGTTGTGAAATGATCCAACCATTCTGGAGAGCAATTTGGAACTATGCTTAAAGGGCTATAAAAATGTGCATACCCTTTGACCCAGCAATAGCACTTCTAGGCCTACATCCCAAAGAGATCATAAAAATGGGAAAAGGACCCACATGTACAAAAATATTTATAGCAGCTCTTCTTGTGGTGGCAAAGAAGTGGAAATTGAGAGGATGCCCATCATTTGGGGAATGGCTGAACAAGTTGCAGTATATGAACGGTGGAATACTATTGCGCTATAACAAAGGCAGACTTCAAAAAAACCTGGAAAGACTTGTATGGAATGATGCTGAGTGAAGTGAGCAAAACCAAGAGAACGTTGTACACAGTAACAGCCACACTGTGCGATGACTAAATTTGACAGACTTAGCCCTTCTCAGCAATGCAAGGATCTAAGACATCTCCAAAAGTCTCACCATGGAAAATGCTATCCACATCCAGGAAAGAACTATGGAGTTTGAATGCACACGGAAGCATACTATTTGCTATATTTTTTTCCTTCTGTTGTGTTTTGTTTCTTCTTTTTTGTGGTTCCTCCTATTGGTTCTAATTCTTCCTTACAACCTGACTAATGTGAAAATAGATTTAATAGGAATGTATATCTATAGCCTATGTCAGATTGTGTGCCGTCTTGTGGAGGGGGGAGAAAAATTTAAAACTCAAAAGCTTATGGAAGTGATGGTTGATAAATCAAATTTAATTAATTAAAAAAATACTATTTGTTTTATGGGATGGTTTTCTAAGAAGGGGAGGAATACTGGTGATAACTATGATGATATAAAAAAATTTGAAGACAATAACAAAAGCTTATTTTTTTAAAAAAGAACTTTTTTTTAATTTTAAATTTAATTTAAATTTTAAGAATTACCTGGTTCTCTGAAAACCCTGATTAAAAAAAAAAACCAAAAACTTGAACATTGTATTGCAAGAAATCATAAATGAAAACTACCCAGATCTCTTAGAACTAGAAGGCAAAGTGACAATACAAAGAATCCACTCATCACTTCCTGAAAGAAACCCCAAAAATAACAGTCCTAATAATGTCATATCCAAAATCAGGCCTCCCACAACAAAGGAAAAACACTGCAAGCATCTGGAAAAAAATAGTTCAAGTACCAAGAAACAAGAGTCAGGATCCCACAAGAGCTGGCAACTTCTACTCGTACAAGAAATACAACATCTGAAACAGTAAAAGAGAGAGGGCTATTAACAGAGAACAGTTTGCCTTGCAAAGCAGTATCGATGATCCTCCAGGGGGGCCAAAAGGGCCCTGCAGCCCAAACCGAAGCATTCCGGACCAAGAGCTCAGGAAGAACTTTTCAATACAAGAGCTCAAAACAAAGAAAGGCAAACTCACTTGTGTCCCCATAAAACCTTAATGTTGTCAAAGGACATTGGAGAAGCTCAGTAAGAAAAACAAACGTCCTGGGAGGGGCTGGGTTCTGTTCTAAGGACTTTAAGAAGGAGAGAAAGGAATAAGGGTAAAAGGAATATATCAGCCTAGAAATGAGGAAGAAAGGCATGAAACTTGCTATTTTCCAAATGCAGGAAGGGCCTGGGAAAGGAGGCACTGAAGGAACCTCTTTCTTACCTAGACCAGGCAAAGGCGGGATGAATACACACACAGAGTTTGGCACAGAACTACATCAAACTCAACAGAAAAACAAGCTGGCACAGAAAGACAGTCCTAAGAAGGAGGAGGATCCAGGAGAAGAAAGAGTCTCAGGCAAAACAAGCTGGAATGAGTCTATTTCATCCATGTCATTACTACCCCCCAAGAAAAAGAAAGGTCCTCAAGGGAAGGGACGATGTTGTCTCTTTCCTAGAACACAGTACGAACTTCAGAAACACTTGACTTGAAATACAAAAACTCACTATTCCTCTAAGTCATAAACTATTCAGAAATGGTTTACAAAGGGGCCGCCAAAAGAGTGGAGAGCTGGAACACCAAAAATTGGTTCAATTCCACTTTCTTCTCTGTATCACAAAGACACTGTCATATGGTAGAGAAGATAAAGAGATGGATTTGAGGCCTGCGACCCTGGACAAGCCACCTAACTTCTTAGAACCCAGACAACGCTCCACGACCAAGGTTCAGAGCAGGAGCCAACCTAGATTGGGGAGAGTTTCCTTGGAAGAAGCTTTATTCTACCAATGAAATGAAAGGTTCAGTCCAAATCCAAACACACACACATATACACACACACAAAACTATTTTGAAAAATTCAAATTTATAAATGACCCAGCTCTTACATGAATCAGTCTGAGAGAAAAAAAAAAAACTATTATAATAAAATCTGAAAACTTGGTAGTCTGGTTAAATGGACTTTAAAAAAAACACTTTTAAAAAATCTTACCTCTATACTTGGGCTAAGGCTGCTGGGTGGTGTGTCTGTTGTCACAGTAGTACTTGGAAGGCTGGAAAATTCCCATGTATTCACAGGCCGGACTGGTTCAGACTGCTGTGAATGATCAATACATTTTGGGTTATCCAGTAAGGTCACTTCATAAAATTCTTGAATATCTAGAAATAGGAAAGGGAAAGAAAATAAGATATGTAATAACAGATCATTAAAGGAGATTATTTATTGTCTACTTAACCTAGGCAATAGCACAAGAGCATAGAAATAAAGAAACATTCTCACTCAGAAACTGTGACAAATGGCCCATCTACTTGTTAAAATCAAAGGTCCTCCGTCATTTTCTCATAAGGGCGCAGAAGCACCTGCCTACAGATTACTGAAGGCCCAACAAGTTTGTCTTCCATTGACCAGTCCAGTTAAGTACGGGCAAGGAACCAATGCACTAGGATGCCAGTCAAGAGAACAGTAGGAGCTAAAAATGGCTCCGTTTTCTGAATCTCAAAAACTTTACACACTGCTGGAGGCCCTAGCCCCCTAAATGTGAGTACCTAGAACTGAATCCTACAGTGTTGACATTCTTACTCTAAACAATATGGAAGAAATAAGAGGATAAAGGCCAGTGACATGGGTAGATGTGGACAATGTGGAAGGTGGGTGGAGGGTGGATGGGAGGGGAGACTGGAGGCAACAGTACAGGCAAGAGATGACCAGAGCCTGAAACAGGCCAATGGCCTGGGGAGTGGAGAGAAGGGGGCTAACAAGCCTTGGCCACTGACTGGATCTGGGGGAGCACGGATCTGAGGATGGTTCCGTGGCTGTGAAATAAGGTGACCCAAAAGGTGTGGCCCTCCACCTTTCAGGGTCAAGGGTTTTTAAGGAGAAGAGAGAAAGGCATTTTTGAAGGCAACTGGTAGACAGAAAGGGATGGAAAGAAGGAATGATTTCGGCTACAGTGGGCTGAAGGTGAGAGGAAGAGAAAATTGCTCATTTAAAAAAAATTAATTAAAATAAACGAGTGAATTACCATAACCCACATTCCCCTATCTGACCAAGACTTCTCCTTCCAGCTCTGCCCAGGCCTAACCTTCTTCTATGCCCATACCTTTCAATGTATCTCAACTCACTGAACATGTATTAAGAGCCTACTATGTGCCAGGCACTGTGTTAAGCGCTGGGGACACAGAGAGGTAAAAGCCAGTCCCTGCCTCATCTAACCTTCCAATCCCTTCACCTATCTGTGTCTGTCAGGTCATTCATTCATTAGCTCTGCTCCCATTTCACTTTCCTCCCTTTCTAATCAAGATTCTATGGCTAGCAAAATGAAGGCCACATCAAGTTCTGCTCATCTCTTGCCAAACCATAGCCCTGGAATACTCTCACCATCTGACTCCTCTGCTCGGCTTCTAAACAGAGTTGGAGAAAGTCTCATGACTGTGCTGGTCAAAGACAGGCAGCTCAAACAGCCCCTTGATGCATTAAAGCAATCCATTTACTTCTCCCTGATTCTTGATCTCATTCCACCAGAAAGTGATTCCAAATATTCTCTTCTCTCCTCAAATCTTCCACACTGTGTTCTTCCCCCACCCACCTACTCACAAGACTAGGACCCTAAGAAAATGAGGTGATTTGGCAGGGGCTCCCTCCTCTGTCCTCTCCATCCCCAAACCTGTTGGCATCATCTCTCACTCTCTCCTCCTTTCCTCCAGACTGACAAAGAGGGTGTCTTCTCCTCCACTTCTCTACATGTTCCCTGCAGCTTTCTCCAGCAAAACGCAATCTCAATCATACTCATTCTTTCTCCCTCTCTTCTCTGATCCCCCATCCCCAACCCTTTCCCATCTGCTAGCTGCGTTCCTACTGCCTCCAAACAGAAGCCTCTCTCCCATCTTTAAAAACCCTTCATTAGACTCTGCTATCCCCTGAATCTCTATGTATCCCTTTTCTCTTAGCTGCCAAACTCCTTGAAAAACTGTCTACACTCACTGCCTCTCACATCCTCCTCATCCTTTTACATTCTGCCTGACACTGAAATCTTACAAAGATCCGTTCACTGCCAAGCCTGCCCATTTCTTCTAGGTCCTCATTCTTCTCAACCTTCTGTACCATCCACTTCAGACTGCCCCCCCCCGAATCTCCCCCCCCCCCCCGCTCCAGTCTTCATAGACAGTCTCTCCTCTTTCAGGAAACTCCTCTCTCCTGGTTCTCCCACTGGTCTCACAGCTCTTTGCTGACAATCTTGGCTGGTGAATAATCATCCCCAGGAGTCCCCAAGGTTCTGTCTGAGGCCCTCTTCTCCTTCCACATCCTCTCTCGGCAATCTCATGAATTCTCAGGTGTCTCACAATCATCTGCAGGTTCCCAGATCCACACACCCAGTCAGAATCTCTCCCCAGAACTTAAGTCTCATATCACCAATGGTCCGCTGGATATTTCAACCCGCATATCCCAGAAATATCTCAATCTCAACACCTCAAATTCAGCATTAGCTTTCCTTTTTTACTGATATTATTTTGGTTAGACCAGGGATTCCTTTTTATTTTTTATAAGCATTTATTTTCTCTCCCTTCCCTCACATTTAAGAAAAAGAAAACCCTCATGACAAATATGCACAGTCAAGGAAAGCAAATTCCCTAATTCATCAAATCCAAAAAGCCTGGGTGCCTCCCTCTGCATTTTGAGTCTATTCATCCTCTGTCAGAATGTGAGCAGCACACTTCATCTTCCATCTCATGGAAACAGAATTTGTGATTATGCTGTTCAGAGCTCTAAAGTCTACCAAATTGGTTCTTCTTTATAATGTTGTTCACATATAAACTGGTCTTCTGGTTCTGCTGCTTGGTTCTTCATCAGGTCATCCCAGTTTTCTTTAAAACTATTTCATCATTTCTTATGTGAAATAATACCCCATGACATACATAGCAAAATGTGCATAGCAAAATTCCCCAACAGGTAAGAACTCCCTTGATTTCCAGTTTTTTGCTACTAATAAAAATTTCTATAAATATTTTTTTATATATCACCGTCCTCTTCTTCTTTCTTTGACCTCTTGGGAGCACAAGCCTAGTAGTGATATCACTAGATCAAAGGATATGAGGCATAGCTCCTAAATGACTGCTGCCCAGGATGGCTAGAACTGCCAGAGACCTGCACTAACAGGGCATTCTTGTGCCCGTTTTCCCATAGTCCCTCCAGCACTGGTTTTCTTTTTGGTTGGCACAGCCAGCTTCACAGTGGAACCTCAGAGATGCAGGAATAAGAGTTTCTCTCATTATTAGTGATTTGGAGCATTTTTTCATATAGTTGCTGATAGTTTCAATTACTTCCTTCGAATGCTGCATCTTAATATCCTTTACCTTGCTTTCCAGTTTTCCCAGGAGTTTTTGTAGAATAATGACTCCTTACACCAGTAATTGCCTAAAGGCAGCAGCTAAGCAGCACAGTGGGCCTAGAGTCTAAAGGACTGGAGTTCAAATCTGGCCTCAAACACTTACTAGCTGTGTGACCCTAGGTAGACAAGTGCCTTAACCTCCGTTTGCCTCCATTTCCCCAGCTGCAAAATAAGGGAAAAAAAAAATTTACGAAGTGAGAATAAGTATACAGGATAAATAGGAAATAATTAGCAGAGGCAAGATACTGCAATTAAGAGAGGTTGGAGAAGGCTCCTTGTAGAAGGGGGATATTAGCTGGGATTTAAAGGTAGCCAGAGAAGTGCCTAGTGGGACCAGAGGAAGGAAAGCATTCCAGGCATGGGAGGGAAGGAGAAGGGGGGGCTTTCAGAGACAGGGGAAGGACTTAAAGCAGGCAGACCTAGCAGCAGCTACTGCAGTGGTGCAAGTGTGCAGTGATGAGACCCTGCACCAGGGTGGAGGCAGAGGCAAAGGAGAGAAGAGGGTATATTCAAGAGATGGTACAACTGACAGGCCTTGGCACCATACTGGATATGAGGGGTGAGAAAAAGTGAGGACTACAGGATGACCCCTAAGCTGGAAGCCTGTGGAATTGGCAGGACAATGTTGCTCTCTACAGAAATAGATAAGGCTGGAGCAGGGGAGGGTTTAGGGAGAAACAGAATGAGTTCTGTTGTGGTTATGTTGAGTTTAAGATGTCTACTGTAGAAAAAAGAAAAAATAAATTTACATGATAACTATTATATATTTAAAAGGAATAGCAAGTTGCACATAATAGATTTGCAATTTCATGTGCAATCATGCTTTTTGTTTTTTTTACTATACTTTGGTATGGAAATGCTTGTTTTATGGAATAATTGTGGGAGGAAAAAAAAGATGTCTACTGGACATCCAGTTCAAGATGTCAGAAAGGCATTTGGAGATGCAAAATTCGAGGTCAGCAGAAAATTCAGGACAGGATAGGAATATTTGACAATCACCAGCATAGAGATGGTAATTAAATCCAAGGAAGTTGATGAAATTACCAAGTGAAGTGGTATAGAGGAAGAAGAGAAGAGGGTCCATGGTGGGCCCTGAGGGACACCTACAATTAGAGGTTATGACCTGGAGCACCATCCAGCAAAGGAGACAGAAGAGCAATCAGAGATGGAGGCGGAGAACCAGGAGAGAGTGGGGAATCCCAAAAACCTAGAGGGAAGAGAGTTTCAAGGAGGAGAGGCTGATCGACAGAGTCAAAGGCAGCAGACATGTATAGGAGAATGAGGACTGAGAAAAAACCACTGGATTAACAGATCACTGTGGAATGATGAGGTCAGAAGTCAGACTGTGAGAAGTTAAGCACAGGGAGAGGAAAGATAGTGGAGGGGCCTAGTGTAGATACCTTCTCAAGGAGTTTAGCCACAAAAGGCAGATGAGATACAGGATGATGTTAGCAAGTATGAAAAGATCCAAGAGAGGGTTTTATCAGAATGGGGGGGATTCCCAGCAGAGTGGGAGAGATTGAAGGTAAGTGAGAGACTGAAGGTGACAGAGGGGGCAATTTGCTGGAGGAGATGGGCTGGAAGGGAATCACTTGTGCAGGCAGAGGCTGGCCTTGGTAGCGAGTAAGGCCACTTCATCATGTGAGACAGGGGAGGAGGAAGAGAGAGGGGTGGGGTGGAAGGCATGTGAGTGACAGGAGATGAGGAAGAGGGGACAAGGGGGAGCTCGTGGTGAATGGTCTCAACTGAGAGGAGGGGGAGAGAGAGCTGGAG